TGATCCACCCGCCTCGGCCTCCCAAAGTGCTGGGATTACAGGCGTGAGCCACCGCGCCCAGCCTAGTTCTGATTTTTCAAACTGTGCATTCAAATACTGTCTTGATCACTTGATTACTTGATCATCCCCTGCTGCCTAGGGCTCTCCCAGGTCAAACCCTGGTTTCTGCAAACCCCCACTTAACAGCATGGTTCTATTCACACCTTCAGCCAGGAGTGGGAGCTTGGAGCCCCCAGAAACCTCCTAGCCTGGACAGCAGGGCCTTAGGAGCCTCTGAGGACATCCACACTGTGGGACAGAGCAGGTATAGGAGCACATCCTATCAGTGTATATGCATCATATACCTATCTATCCTGTGATGTGAAATAAAAGGGAAGATGATCTCTAGATTTGTGGCATAACTTTGCTTCCTTGAGCTCTGGGATGCACAGCCAGCAGCGGCCTTGGAGAAAGCCTGGGCACGCTCAGAAAGGAGAGTGTAGCCAAGGTCACACAGCAAGTTAATGGCACGGCCAGGCCTCAACACCTGGCTGGGTTCTTCCCACGCAACCAGAGGCCTTCTCTGCTGGCACCATGCTGGCTTGCTCTCCTAACAAGATTAGCTAGGATGAACTCCTGGTTAAAGCCTGGCTCTGGAGTCAGGCTGCAGATGCTGGCTTCGGAGCTATATGACCTTGGGTAAGACACTTAACGTCTGTGGGCATCAGTTTCCTCATCTGCAAAATGAGAATCCTATTACAGCAGTGCCACATGGCTTTTGTAAGGATTAAATAAGATATTGCATGTGAAGCACTCAGTTCCATGCCCAGCAAACAGTAGATGCTCTAAGTCCTATTATTACTACTATGAGTAGTGTCTGGAATCTAGCAATCTCATGGAGAGTCCTTCGCAGGACATGCAATGCTATCCCAGCAGGCACAGGAAGGAAAATTGAGGCTTGGGTACTAGGGAGCCATGGCAGGTGTTTGAGCAGGGGGAGAATAGCATGACTTTGAAGCTGCATAGGGCTGGCAGCCAGTCCAGTACCCACCTACAGGGAACATCTCTGCCAAGGTCCTGCCTCACATGCCCCAGATCCCTGGCAGTCCTCCCAGAGCTGCTGGGCAAAGCCAGGGCACAACACCCACAGGCTACACCCCCTGAGACTTCCAGCCTTGTCTGCTTCCTGGGTGCCAGCCAGGCTGGTGCACACCAAGCAGTCAACACAGCCTCAATCCACAGATACAAAGACCAGGGGGCCCAGAAGCCTGGTGGGGGCCACAGGGTGGCGGAGGAGAAACTGTTCCTACTTTGGGGTCACGAAGGCAAGTCTAGCTCCTCCTTTGCTGTGTGACCTTGGGAAAGTCCCTTTCCTTCTCTGAGCTCCAGTCTGCCCATATGTAAAAAGGTCTTATGTGCTTCTGTATGCGTAGGGGCTGCCGGAGAGATGCAACACAGTGAAACAATGGTCTCCTTCGGCGTGACCGTGAGCCAGACACCGTGCTGAACGCTCCAGGTGTGTCATTTCACTAAATCCTCACAGCTCTACAAGCCAGTCCACGTAGCATGTCTACTTTTTTTAATTTTTGAAACGGAGTCTCGCTCTGTCACCCAGGCTGGCGGGCACTGGCACAATCTCGGGTCACTGCAACCTCCGCCTCCTAGGTTCAAGTGATTCTCTCACCTCAGCCTCCCGAGCAGCTGGGATTACAGGAGCCTGCCACCACGCCCAGCTAATTTTTGTATTTTTTTTAGTAGAGACAGGGTTTCATCATGTTGGCCAGGCTAATCTCGAACTCTTGACCTCAGGTGGATCTACCGGCCTCAGTCCCCCAAAGTGCTGGGATTATAGGTGTGAGCTAGCACGTCCGGCCCATTTCTACTTTTAAGATGTACTTAACTGCTCGACTCATAGGTACAGTCTCCATATTAAAAACCAGAGAGAGAAGGCATAAGTCTCTTTGCAGTAAAGATCAGTCATATGTTTGTCCCGCTTTCCTAAGAGGTAACTGCTGCTGATTAGTTTGGAGGGGAGTCATCCACACTTGTTTTT